AAAAGTCTTTTGTGACGAAGAATGGCCAAATCACTCGGGCATTCATTCGATTCCGAGATTCTGGGGTAAATACAGCACTGCTTACGGTTCTTTTGCTGCAAACTACACCTTTTTCCAGTTCGTGACCAAGTCTCTAGGAATAGCGTTTCTCTCTTTATTCCTATTTTCTTTTAATCTTGCCATTTCGCTGAAAAAATCGCGAAGCACAGGATGCTTTTAATTTTTCTCGTACAAGTTGCAGCAGCATAATAAACTGTTCATGGCAGCATTTGAATACTCGTACAAACTTTTTTATCGGCACATTATGTCTTACAGAATGGAAGACTTTATAGACAGAAATATAGCTTTGATATCATAAGTGTTCTCCTATGTACTATAGATTTTGAAATCTGCAATAAAAGCGTTTTATACAACACGATATTCTCGTAGAAGATTTTTAATTCATTGCGTATCGTAATAGTCTGTGAACAGAAAAAATGCAGTCCATTAAAATGTTTAAATATTCGTTTTGCATTATGGTCATGTCACGTTGACGTTACGTTATAGAGTCGTATCGACGTGATACGAAATTTATTACCTACATTCCGAATTTCCTGGCAAATTTTGTTGGACATCAGAAACTAAGTTATCAATTCTACATATGTTGCTATAATTCCGTACCGCAATCGACGTTTCATATTCTGTGATGCAGAATTTCTTGTTAAGCGCCATATTTCACGCCAAGTTCAAAATTCTCATAAAACTTAGCAATATAACAGCAAATAAAACTTCACGTAGCTGTTCTTCCTATTTTCATTTGTTTCGAAAAATTGCAAATACAATGTGTGCTGTTATTAAATTTATATATAGCGTGATTACGTATATTATCAATGTATTAATTAATTAATACGTAATTACCTATATCATTGCAATATTGTGATCCTATCAAATACAATCTGTGTACAATTGCTTTCGAATGACTTTTCAAAATAAAAAATGAATTAATACAGTGTTACTATGTTAGAAATTACCGGATTCTGGGAAAAAGGAAATTTTTATTAAAAAATTTTTTAATTAATTTAATTAAGTTTTAATTTTTAGTAAAAGTAGTAATATAGCAATTTTGCCTTCAAGGCAAACATTAGAGCAGGTTAAAAATGACAAAATGTTGAGAAGACGTATTTTTATAGCAATATAAAGGAAAAACGCTATCACGCCAAGGATTCTTTCAAATATGCAAAGTTCGCAAAACATGGGAACAGATTTCACATGGAAATTTTTTGTTAGCACTTAGCACATAAGACAGGTATTGGAAATTCGATCAGCAGCGAAGGTTAAAGCAATCTATTCCTAAATTATCTCTCGTATCTTTCAAAAAAAACCAATCTTATGACACTTTATTGCTACGTGACTTCGAATCGTTAGCAGCCTTGTATATCTGGATTGCTCGTTCTCAACAAGCACTGGTACCAGCAATTAGACTAAAATCGTGGAGAAGTGAAGTAGCGTTAAGAAGGTAATTGCTTTCGACGTTCTTTCAAAATATACGTCGTCGCCAATATGCATTTGCAATTGGTACTCTAGCAACTAAAAGATTGTAATTATTGTGCGTTTTACAGAAACCAAATTGCTAAAAAGCTGGTCAGCTTGTTTTGAAGAATCGAAGAAAAGACTTGACGAGTGATTTTCATCCTTCGAGTTCGTAGAAAACTTATATCCAACTAAGACATATTGCTATATATGTTCGAAGCATTGATTGCAAATTAATGATCAGATTGCGTGTGTTTATGCAAATTTATATTTTTATCAATACGATTGCAGAAATGAAAGATAAGCAGAGATATGTTTTACTGGTCGAATAATTGAAAATATTTATTATTACAAATATATTAAATTATAAAGCATATTTTGCTTTGGATATTTGTTATATTCTGGACATTGTACGTATTTATGCATATTTAAATTTCCCATAAACGCATAAATATCCACAGTTGATTAATAATAAAATAATAAAATTAATATCTTTTGATAGAAACAATAAAGTTATGGTAAATGGGAAATGTGGTCTCGGATTTTCGTTTATTTTTAAATATTAGTAATCCCCCTCAATGAAATATTATTTTCAAATGCATAAATGATATAATGTAATATAGCAATATTATGTTACGAGCAATAAAATGCCACTTTTCAGCTTCGTTGGTATTTTTCAAACAAAATTCGTGTTTTCCTGTGAGTTTCCATTTTAGATAAGTGGTTACGATGCTCGCCGGGATATTTGCTAATTTAGAGAACGAAAATCAAGATCAGTCGTTTGATACTGTGGCGAGTAAAAGGGAATTATGTGTTCGAATGAATGTGAACGAATTTCCTCGGTACCAGATACAAACGAGGGGGATTTAAAAAAGAATTGGAGATAATTGCGAGATACTTTACAGTTAATCGAGTTTACATAGAGCTTTTCCTTGTTCTATAAATCGCGGAAGCAGCAATTAAAAGGAATTAGTGGAGATTAACAAGGAATAATTATTAATAGACGTTAAAATCTATGAGAAAATATAATGAGAAAAATTCGATTTCTGTACTAAATTAAAGAGAAAAAAGAAAGTTAAGCGAGGAATTGCAAATGAAAAAGTACGATTTAATAAAAGAAAAAAAAAAGAATTATTTAAAGTAAGACAGTAAGAAATTAGTTGAAATTCAACGAAGCTAATAATTAATTTTTTATTATAATTGAAAAGTTTTCAATTCTAATTTCCCAGATGTTTCAGTAATATCCGACAAATTTAATAAATTAAGAAGATGAAATATAAAGCAGCGGGAGAATATCCGGGCTATAAAACTGTCTAAAATCTCATTCTGTCACATAATTCACTATTAACCTCAAGAGAACACGTCTCAAAAAGTTTCTTAAACTATTTCTCTTCAACATACGCGAGTTTCACATCACTTTAACAACGTTAATCATTCCTACGTATACGTAAGAGGGGCAAGAAAATTACCTTTCCGAACTTGCACCATGGAACCGCAGTCAACTTTTCCAAAACTTTCTCTTTCTTACGGATTTCACGAACGTCCACCAGGTTGCAGAGTAACTCTTGCATAAAATCCATATGAAGTACGAAAAATGCTTAATTTTATCAAAATAGAGGCATCGTTCATCATCAAACAGAATCTAAAATATTCGTTTGCACGCCGGAGTAAGCTGATTTATTTATTTTGACATATAGCTTATTTAAATAAATAATGATGAATTATTTACATTAAATGACAATAATTAATGGATATGTAAGGTATTTAAAATATCCATCACAAATGATATTATTATACGTTAGAGGTAGAGAAATTTCTGAAATTTACACAAGTATAGAAAAATATACACGATACACCTCTGTATCCGCTCTCAAGGGATGAACATGTATTATAGAAATTTGATATACCTGTCGTATGTTAGATTGAAACATGTAAAAGATCCAATTTCTTCTGGTATTGTATTTCTAAGCCTCTTTTTTCCAACAAATATCTCTTTCTTGCAGAATATTTTGGTAACTGTTTTAAAACTGTGAATTTTATCTTTCACGGTGAACTTAGCTTTTTTAATTTTGTGTGAATGCACCTTTATTGAGATTTAGCGAAGCGCGACTAGCTGAATAACGGGTTTCGTATCGTATTTATGATTTAATAAAAAAACACTCTTTGTCGAGAAAGTTTATTTTATATTTTCCTTTAACAACACTCATAAAGTCATTTCGCGTGTATTTCATATATTTAGATATAGTTAGCCTAGAAAGTTTTCAAATTAAACAGAATAATCCCAATAAAACATATCGCAAGTATACTTAAAACGTGACACAACTCAAACTATTCAAAACTATTTCAAACTTGGTCAAAATAATTATTTAAGGAGAGGAACGGCGATCAAATGTTACTTTTTGAAATTTTTAACCCTTTAACCCTTTTTAACCCTTGAAATTCTTCTTTGATGGCTGTAATGTTCTTCCAACATCGGACTGAATCATTTTCAGCTGCTACACTTTCGAAATACACGTGCAATATACTTTTGTCTCTCAACAGCACAAGAATCGAGAAATCACACTGAGAACTCAAAGAACTGCTCTACGACATCCAGCTACATCTCAACTCCGGATCTGAACTTTCGTGACCATTGGTCATTCCCTCGTTCGTGCACACACTTATGCACTGGGGACAAACACCACGATATGGCATCGTATATCTCTCTATCCAGCATAAACATACTCGAGTAACTAGATACTGAATTTCCTACCACACCCTGGCACCCTGATTCGCCCTCTAAAATCCACATCCATTACAAACACGCACATTAATCGACATCCTCCGCTCCAAACCATAATTATTCCACCCAAACATCCTTTGTACATCGTACTAACCGTTATCCTATAATACAAATCTCAACGTCTCCAACAACAATCTCTTCTTCTCCATTTGCAATAATTAGCATTATCAGGACGAAGATCCCAAAACCATAATATCTATCGCAAATTATTTGGAATAATTATTTATTCTCTTTTCCCAATGGTTACGGTTTATCTCAAACTATAACCATTCACGTCTTAACCCATTAACAGACGCTGTACTTGGAGAAGTACAGAGATTTCAAACGAGCCTTAATGCGGCAATATATCACAGTAAGCCATCAGGTAATCGCCATCAACAACTATCCTTTCGTCTCCATTTCAAACGAGCATTATACCCAAAATATTTATTACAAATTATTTCAGACAATTATTTATCCCAAACCATAACCATCCAACCAAAACCATCTACTCCTTTATACTATACACCATCTATCTTATTAAGCAATCAAGTAGTACACACCTCGGCGTCTCCAACAATAATCTCTGCCACTCCGCTTGAAACAACTATAGCAGCCAGAGTGTTCCTTACGAATTCTCTAAAATCCAATTTTTTTTTTATTCCGAGCCACAACCATTCGTTCTCTCATGAACACCATACATTAAATTAAGCGGTCAGACAATACACACCTGGACGTCTGCTACAATAATCTCTTCCTCTCCACTTGAAACGCAGCCGTGAGTAGAATACAAGCAGGTCGAAGATCCAGAGAAGCAAGAGTTCACGACCCCTTCGCGTCACCTTTCTGTCACCCAGCACAAATTGTCCGACGCACCCTTAGTCAGCTTCAGGGTATTAATTCTCGTCGTAGCGTAATGCGAATGATTACGAATAATTCCCGGCCGACGGAAGATAGATTTGGCCGGTTACGAACGCGGCTAGAACGCCGACTGAAACGTCCCCGGCGCGACGGCGTCCGGATGAATGTTGCCGCTCGTCTAACGACGGCTGCGGCGGCG